GGTGAAATGTTGATTGATGACAAACTTCATTCTGGACATCCATCAACTCCCCTAATAGATGAAAATGTTGACTAACAGTGCATTTGGAGTTCCTTCCACCAAGTCAGACTGTTAATCAAGCTATCTATTTAGAGGTTCTGAAAAGACTGCGTAACAGTGTGTGACAAAAAAGGCCTAACTGTGGCAGATGGGGCACTGGTTTTGCCACAAAAATGCACCTGCTCACACTGCCATCTCAGTGCACCAGTTTTTTGGCAAAAGACAGCATGCTTCTCTTGCCTCACGCACCTTACTCACCTGACATCGCTCCGTGTGACTTTTTTGTTTCCACGAATGAAGAGGGGCATTAAATGACAGTGATTTGATGATGTAGAAGAGGTGAAGAAAAAAACAAGGGAGGTGCTGTCAGCTATCCAAACAGTTGAGTTTGAAAAATGTTTCCAAGAATGGAATCACAGATTTGACAAATGCATTAAGTGTAATAGAGAGTACTTTGAAGGTGAAATGGTGGTCTTTTATTATTTTTTAAAATTTAAATACATAGCTTTGGGGAGGAAATCCTTTTGTTGGGGGTGGGGGATATCCCCTCATATTTCTTCTATCAATCCATTCATTACATATTCTACAAAGTGGTTAATCCAGGTTCAAGCAATTAATAGCTGACCATGGATGAGTTTTTTTCATTGGCAGATACTTCCCCCTTTCCATTACTAAGCCCATTTTTTTTCTTCAATCGTTTTATTAGGGGCTCATACAACTCTTATCACAATCCATACATACATCAACTGTGTAAAGCACATTTGTACATTCATTGTCCTCCATACATACATCAATTGTGTAAAGCACATTTGTACATTCATTGCCCTCATCATTCTCAAAACATTTGCTTTCCACCAAAGCCCCTGGCATTAGCTCATTTTTTCCCTCCCTCCCCGCTTCCCCCTCCCTCGTGAACTCTTGATAATTTATAAATTATTTTGTCATATCTTGCCCTGTCTAATGTTTCCTCTCACCCACTCTTCTGTTGTCTGTCCCCAGGGAGGAGGTCACACATAGATCTTTGTAATCGGTTCCCCCTTTCCAGCCCACGCTCCCAGTATCGCCGCTCACACCACTGGTCCTGAAGGGATCATTTGCCCTGGATTCCCTGTGTTTCCAGTTCCTATCTGTACCAGTGTACATCCTCTGGTCTAGCCAGACTTGTTAAGGTAGAATTGGGATCACGATAGTGGGGGAGGAGGAAGCATTTAAGGAACTAGAGGAAAGTTGTATGTTTCACCGTTGCTACATCACACCCTGACTGGTTCGTCTCCTCCCTGAGCCCCTTCTGCAAGGGGATGTCCAGTGGCCTACAAATGGGCTTTGGGTCTCCACTGCACTCCCCACCTCATTCACTATGGTAAGATTTTTTATTCTTTGATGCCTGATAACTGATCCCTTTGACACCTTGTGATCGCACAGGCTGGTGTGCTTCTTCCATGTGGGCCTTGTTGCTTCTGAGCTATTTGGCCGCTTGTTTACCTTTAAGCCTTTAAGCCCCCAGACACTGTATCGTTTGATAGCCGGGCACCATTAGCTTTCTTCGCCACATTTACTTATGCATCCATTTGTCTTCAGCAATTGTATCAGGGAGGTGAGTACACAATGATATGATTTTTTGTTCTACTAAGCCCATTCTTTTTTTTTTTCCTTCTTTTTTTAAACATTTTATTAGGGGCTCATACAACTGTTATCCCAATCCATACACACATCAATTGTGTAAAGCGCATTT